CTCCTTGCCAGTACATGGACAAATGTTTGCGAGGCATCAGTTAGAAGTAGGGAAGATGTAAATTTCAAAGGGGGAAACGTGGATTTGTGATGCGACGGGGTGGAAAGCGGGGAAACTGTAGGTTATTGGGGTGTTGGCCTGCCGCTGGATGGAAAGACAGAATGTGCAACATACGCATATGGGATACAGGAGTGAGATCATGTCAAACTTCTCCGAGTGGCTACACTACAGTCTGCGTGCTCCGGGTCCATCAGTAATGCGTCGCATGCAAAATCATTTTAGGGACTAGTTTTCTCGCTGCCATTGTTTTATAACTATGATTGTTTTATTCCACCCCCACCCACCTCCACACTCCACCTCTGTGCCCCCCTCCCTCTTGCAATCTCTTTGGAGGCTATATTGCGTGAGGACGGAGGTAGGTGCGTCTTTAATTTGGCAGCCCTCTACGGGGCCGCGACACCCTTTTCTTTTCACGCAGTCTGACCCATTAGAAATGTTCATCATGTTTCGACGCTATAAACCTGCATCGTATGGATCTGACGCCTAGAGATTACCTATAGCCTACGGGTGTGGTACAGTATAGCCTTAAGACCGCTATAGTTTCTCTTGATTTGTGTAAATTTCACTTTTCTAGGTGTGAAACTGGGTTGTGCTGATGTGCTATAGGCTGCTTTGACTTGAAGCCAGGGATGAGTTGTCAGGTCTTGTGCATTCAGCGGACCTACTTTGAGTTAGTTAGTTAGAGCCTATAGCAGCAATAAACCACACTGCAGTATTTCAGGCTTTGGCACTCTAGGACAACGGCGCGCCTCGCTATAGGCCTACAACAGTAGACTTTAGTGAGGACTACCTATAGGAGACAAATCCTACCAGTGAGTGAATGGCACATACAATGTGAAGAGGGGCAGGTGGTCTTCATCATGCATAGGGATGAAATTCACCTGGTAATAAGAAGAGGTGTTATTTCTCTGAGCTCCCTCTTTCAGTGGCCTGATGTCCCATGCTACACAATTTCCATCCTTATCTCTCATCCCTCATCAGTCCTGACTAAGGTGAAATATCACAGCATGTCTAAATCAGCCAGGACATAATTAGTTGTCCCAAAACTGACTCAGGTCAGGCATGAAGACAGTGGTGTCCATCTCTATAGGACGTGAGGGTTGTTTGAGACCTCTTCACTAGATATTTGGCAGCCAGGTTATTCCCTCGTTAATGCTGGATGTGGATCTGTTACCTGTACTCAGTGGCACTGTGAGTTTGGACTGAGGTGCTGTGTATGTCCATGTGACTCTGATGTGAGCAGCATGTACAGCTCCTCCTTACTGGCACCGTGTCTCCGCGGTGTCCGGTTAGCTCCATCACATGTCAGGTCATCATAAGCGTGCACGGAGCAGGGTGAAGGATTTTTCCAGGTGCTGAGACGGAGACCGGTGCATTTGCCGGTGCAATATGTCTTTCTTCCGTGCAGAGGACGCAGCGTCATAACAGTTTGCTAAATTCTGGAGAATCGCACAGCAACAAGCTTACCTTTTCCTTGGGAGGCACTCCATCAGTATTTTTATTTATTTATTTTATTCCAGACTCGTAATGCATTTAGGTGAACAGAGGGCGCATTTGGGCTGTGCCACTATGGCTTCATATGATATAATAGGATTCACTGTTTAATAGTTTAAGAGTGGTCTCAGCACTTTTTTCATTTTAGATGTGCAAGTCAAATTGTTGCATTTTATCCAGTCTTAGTGGGCATCAAACACGCTGCAACATTGCAGACAGTTCCAGCTTTGCTGCCTGTGTAAAGCATACTGCTGGCCATGTTGCTACATCCAGGTTTGAATCACCTTGACGGTAGATCAGTTGGTGTAGCACTGGTGGAAGGAGACTTGGAGGTTGTGCCGACGTTGGGTCACTTCAGTCGGACTTAATACCTAGTCACTGTGGTTGTGCTTTTTCTCGAGGATAGTGGTTCGGTGGCTCTCACTCTGCCTGTGGATTTCTTCTGACTTCTTTCTGATTCATTTCCAGGTCTGTACCCTTGCCATTGTTGCTTTGAATGTTGCATATACTGTCTAATTTTTGATAGCCTGACTGTGACTTGACTGTCAGTTGTGGTGTGTCATACCCAATGGCCATCAGCCAACTGGGGTATGAAATTCATCTGGTGTACAAGTCTGTCAAGATGCAGTTGATAAAATAATTTTAAACTTATGGGTTAAACAGCCCAGAGTCCAGCAATACTTTGTGACAAGCTTAAACTGTTTATAATATTTAGTTTAGAATACTTAGTCATTAATTGACCTGTGTAGAAACATTGTTTTGATCAGTGTTGGATGTAAGACACCAGAATACACATCGTGTCACGTGGGCCATGTGACATGTTCAAAGCTGTCAGCATTTGAATTCTAAAGTTGTCTTTGGCAAACCAGGATGTCTTTGTCATTGACATCAGCAGTGCTACCAACACACTCACATTCACGCCTAATATCTGCAATATGAAACATAAAGGAAAACCATGAATGTCATCTTTTTCATGGTTACAAAATGGATACAAAAGAAATATCCTGAGAAAGAAATGTAGCAAAACGTTATGTAAGGCACTTGTGAAGGAGACGTCAGATGAGTGCCCACTGGGGTAAAGAGCATAAACACAAGAAGAGAAAACTTGACACTGTCTCCTTGCTGTTGGGGTCGCAGAGGTGAGAGCAGCAGGGGAATTCAATGCCTTCTGTGTGCTGGGCACCTGAATTTAACTTTCAGAGGTATAGGATCAGTGTTCAGGCATTTACGTAGATGGATAGAGCAGAAATTATGCCTACTGGCCCATGTTCCATATGTTTACACTTTGTCAGCTTTATCTTGCTTTGTTTGCTTTATCTGCCAGAACTAGTAAATTCCATCTGTGAAGCTTCAAACAACATTTTTATCATAATCTTTGATTAAACTATTTTAAAGGATTAATTTTTAATTATTATTCATTTTTTCATTCATTGCTTTGCTCTGTTGTTGCTCAGTACCTTATGCTCACTCTTCCTAATTTTTCCCGCTGTGTGCCCCTGTCTTCCTCTCAGAGCCGGATGTCTGGAATGGAAAACGAATAAAGAGGAAATAGCTGCAGGATGAAAACATGGCTGCGCCCCTTCTTGCACCCCCAGGACCTGACAGCTTCAAGAAATTCACCCCGGAGTCGCTCGCTAACATCGAGAAGCGCATCACTGAAGAGAAGAACAAGAAGCCACCTAAGCCCCGATCGGACAGCAGTCATCGCGACACATCTGATGACAATGAACCTAAGCCCAACAGTGACCTGGAGGCTGGGAAAAGCCTGCCCTTCATCTACGGCGATATTCCCAAGGGAATGGTGGCCACACCACTGGAGGATTTGGACCCATTCTATATGAACCAGAAAGTGAGTTGTCCCTCGGGTCACCCCGTTTATTCCCTGACTTGTCACACAAATCGGGAAGTTTTGTTAAATAGTGATGAGAGATTTATAGATAGTTGGCCTTTAAATCTTTGGACATGGCATTCAGGTGTTGTGCTGAGCCTTCTGATGAGCTAAGTGTTAAGCGTTTTTCAGCAATGTAAACTAACCATGTAATATAGATGGGTAATATGACGCTTACTGTCATAACAGATTGGAAGTTGGAAGTTACTGTATTCACTACGAAGATAGCCATATCATAATAGCAATGATGACCTTGAGGTATTTCAGAGCTTTCGGTAATTTTTAGTTGCTGGTACCGGGCCTTAAAGACAATTATTACAGTGTACAGGGGGATCACACAGGGCCTGAGTTTTTTATTGCACCATTACAATCAAAACACAACTGAGAATGAGTCACGTACGTAGCTGCTCTGCTCCTGCAACACTGCAGGGTTACTGGGGGATGCAAGTCTTGGACAGTGTTAGTCTCGAAGAGGTTTCTGCAGTATGGATTAATTATCTGTGTGGAGGGTTAGAGAAAAAGTGATGTAACAGCCGGAGGGGATGGCGAGCTCTACTTTATGTTTAAATGCAGTCTATAGCTAATCAAATTCTTTTGTGACAACAAACAGTTTCAAATTTCAAGGACTCTGTTCAATGATGGATAACATTTACAGTATTTTCATCAATGCAGTAGAGCAATAATTTGGTCATATTTATACTGCATGTGTGTATGTAGACACAGTTCTGGCATGACATGGGGATCTGAACATATTTTTTGACTTGCTGCTACCATGGTTTCATAAATACAGATTCTGTAGGACCCAGAAAATCCAGTCCCGTGTTTCATCTCCAAATTATGCATTAGATAAAAGACCCAAATGCATTTTAGCGTTCTGTGCCACACTGTTCACACTCCTGCTCGGCTTGGCCCCTCCTGCGGCTCTGCACAAGCAAAGGAGGAATGAGGAGTGAAGGCAGAAAATAGGCAGGAGAGGACAGGAAGTGGAGAGAAATGGGCAGCATGCTGTAGTACCAGCTGTTTGTAGGTGTGGAGTGGCCAGTCTGCTCGGTGGTGCCAGTGATAATGTAGAAGAGAATCTGCCTCCTGTACAGCAGCAAGAAGCTCAGTCAGCAGGACTGGCAGTCTCAGCCTGCAGCACTCCCTTGCAGAGCGGATGAAACTATCAAGTGTATATGCCTTTTGTGATCTATTGATCCATAGCACTAGTGCAGTGGTGACCACAGGAAGAGTTGCATTCATGTCTGATTATCTTTCCCCACTTTGTTTACTGCCCAGTGCATACTTCTTCACCTCTCCTCACTTTCCTTTGTGGTGGCTCACACTGGTGATTGAAGGAAATTTATTTATCATGACCTCTACTTAGACCCCTCCTTTACCCGCTGCCGCGAATACTTGTGTGTGGTGGTTTGTGTACACAGGCTATTTGTACAAAGAGACTGCACTAAGAAAATGATACCTACCGTGTCATGATCACTTCAAAATAATGTTTTTGGATAGTTGTTGTGTATTTGGTAGCTGAATGGTCTGCTTACTGTGAAATATGAAGAGTTAGTGTTGTGCACCACTGCTGTCGAGGGCTCTCAGAATAAAAAAAATTTAACTTTTAAATCCTGTCACTACAGGCAGTTTGCTGGAGTAGTTTTATTACAAAAAAGTTGTTGAGGACCTGACATAGCTCAGACAAAACTTGCATTTCCGTAGCATGACTGTGTCAACAGGACATCTTATGTGTAGTCATATTAAACATGTTGTGCAAATGCTTATACGTTTTGTATATGAAAAGTAGGTTTAGGGTATAACAGACTGGCAACTTGTATTCTGTGTCCAAAAACAAAAATGAAAGCTCATCCAGATCAGTAAACAATGGTAAAGTCACAACATTTTCCAGCACTCGGGTACAGTAACAGTACAAGTTTATCCTTTGTACATGAAGCTTAAAAGCAACGCTTCTTGGGGTTTATGCAAGAAACAATGCTATGAACAGGACATGAACACATGAAGAGTACACTATCAATGTTCAGCCCTCAGACATTCTGACTGTGTTGCTCTTCTTCACTTACAGTATGATGATACCGAGAATTCTTTTGCAAATTATGTCATTTGGCTTTTAAGATGAATCATTTAATGCACCCGTTATCTTCATGGAGCTGTTTACTCTAAGAACTTAAAAAATTAAAACCTTTATATGAAAAAAATGTGCACTTAGAGAAAATAATTGGTTGTTATATTCAGATTTTAAAATGGCATTCAATCTATTAAATCAACCTTAAATGATGAAACAAACACAAGTTGCCTGTGTACAGTAGTTGTAGTGCATAGTTGTCAGTTTAATAATGAAGCCAGTCATAAACTGTACATGTCGTAGCATCTAGAACCTTAGACATGGCAAATTGATTTTCAATTAATCTTTTCTTAAAGATGTTATTGGCAAGAGCTGTGAAATATACCATCTACATTATCAGTATGACAGGTTATGCTTCAAAACAAGAAAGGGAAAAATAAATGAAATAAATATTTCTGAATGAGTTTGGTCAGTGAGCAGTGGTCACATTCTTATAAATTTGTGAATAATCCACTGACTGGCACATATGCCAGTGGAACCATTGTTTGATCATTGCTGTGCCTTAGAGGATGTCATGCCAACATGCCTGTATAATGAGCATTAGGGTTGGATCCAATACATATATCAAATATTGTGCTTCACTGACATCTCTGTCTACCAAATTATTATCAAAATGCTGTTAATCTTCAAGGAACACAACTATGTCCTGGAAAACCAGCTGCAGTATACAGATAGACCAAGTCTGCAGAATTCCATTACAGCCACGCTTCTTTATTTTCTGCCTTCCAAGCAGCCCCAGTGGTCCAGCTGTGGTTACGGCGCCTTGCTAAATGGCACGTTTTCAGGGAATTGTAAAAGGGACTGGGCTTTTAGACTGTCATCTACTATAAACAGCATACGTATGTTAGAGTACTACTTACCCTATACGTGTTTTTTGCTTGTACAGGTTCTGACTTCTCTTCATTCTGCTTAGTTAAGATCTGCCATGTGTTGTGTCAGCAAGTGCAAGAGTCACAGGCTAAGACCCCACCTTGTGTCATTCATATCAGTACTTTCCCTAAGCCACTGATGTCCTTTATCACACCTGAGGAAGTGCCTCTGAATATATACACGGATAGCGCCATTTCCTCCTCTGCTGTGTGCGTCCTCACCTTTCCAGGCTGCTCGTCTCCTCTACTTAACTGACAGTCATTTATCGCTCAACATTGCATCGTATGTCGGTGAGTGTGTCTGAATGTGTGTGTGTGTGTGTGTGTGTGTGTGTGTGTGTGTTACCGTCAGCTGCAGGAAACCTGATCACAGCACTCTTGCATCAAAGAGAGGAAGAGGGGGCAGCGGTGAGGAGGAGAACTGCAGCGTTGCAGTTCTTGTTCTCCCCAGTGATGGGGAGAGGACTGCCTGGGCTTTTCAAACATCTGATGTGATTAGGCAATGTTAAAGCTGCTGTGTTCATACAGGAAGAGCAGGATGGGATGGGTAGAGGGGGTATTAATGTTTTACTGTAGCTGGTGCTGCACGCATGCATCTGTTTGTGTGTAGAGGGGGTATTTCACTATAAATGGAAATAGAGGTAAAATGATTCACCTTGAATCAGCCACTGTGCAATATGGACAAAAAGAAGAGTTCAAGTTTGTTGATGCAAACAAACATTCTGTTGCTGAATGTGGCATTTTGGCGACTGTCTTGAATGTGCTCTAGACCAGTTGTTGTTACTGCTAGTGAGCGCACATGGGATCTGAATCTCCCACCCCCAGGTGTAGTAAATTAGAGTGAGGGCCAGGTTTTAATGCTCTGTCTGAGTCCTCAGTCTCTGATGACACAGCATCCTCCTGTACTGGGTGGAGTGAGGAAGAGGTGGGTGGGGGTGGGGGTTGAGTTTGCTGTCACTTCTAGCCAGGTTGGTATAAAGAAAGAGCAGTGGGGTAAATGGTGGAATGTGGAGTTTTGCAGCTAATATACAGGTATAATTTGCAGTGAAACGAGTGTGTGGTCATAGGTGAGAAATCACCGGCAAAGCTTTTACTGCAGCAACCTCCAACAGAAGAACATGGGTTATGTTTTGGGCTATAATGGCTGATAGATATTAAATTAAATCTCTGATATCCGGGCTGTTTTGTCACAAAGCGTCAGGCTTCACGTCGGACAATGAGAAGGTTGTCCTACAGTTCAGAAAGGTCAAATTCAGAGTCAGTGTGGTGATGTAATTGACCACTCTGTGTCTTAAGGGAAGGATAACACCTTCTTCCCATGATCTACTCTCTTGTTTCCCTGCTTAGATCTCAGCTCTCTTGCTCCCCCCCCCCAACCCACCCCCTTCTCATCTCATTCTCAGTTTCTCTCTCTGCTGCATGCCTGCTCACAGTCCCCCCTCCTCTCTCCGTTTACCCATCCATCTCAGGTTTGGCTCTCTCCCTCCTGCAGCTCTCTGGCTTTTCTGTTCTGCATCACTCCCCCTCCGCCCCCTCATCTGTCTTTGTTTGCTGCTGTCCCATACCCCTGCAAGCCCCTCTCCGCTATTGCTCCGCTACTGCTCCTCCTCACCCACACACACTGTCCTAACAGCTGCATTCTGACTCCAGATTCTTGCATATTTGACTTTTTCTTTACTCTGTGGAGAACTAGGGACATCTCTGTAGCTTTGCAGCAAAAAGGCTTCTATACTGTGAAGCGTACTCGGCTGAGCTGTGCATGTATACACACTACATAAGTATGTATGTATTTAACTATGCAAATATGTATAGTAGGCAGATCAGTGTTAGTGATTGTGTGGCTTTACACTTTTGTGTAAAGGACTTGAACATGCATTGTGTTACATATTCAGTGTTTTGTGGCTGTTCACAGCCATAACTATTTTACAGTATGCAACTGTATGTTTTTCCATGTGAACAGATGCAATTTATCGTGAGCTTTCCCACGTTTAATAGGGTGCTACATAGTTTATATGTTGATCACACTGAAATGTGGTGTAAAAAGCAAGACAGTCCAATGATGATAAATTCAGCATCCCTAATTCTTTCTCTGTCAAACCTGGGAAATTATGTAAACTTAGAAACCAGTGATTAATTTAAAGGTGGTATCAAACAACAGCATGGGCCATGCTGCATCTACTACAGTGTGTTGTGTTTGCGTTCTGGTGTGTGGGTGTATTCGCTGGTTTTTATGCTCATTGTTCAATCAGTTGAGATTAATGTCACCATGTGCACCACGGTTTGCTGTCATCTGGGCCCACAGCACTTGCACATATTCAACAGCACGTCAGAGTTGTATATTGATGATGTTAGAGTTTTGAGTTGATCCAAATTACACTAAATACCTAATGGTTGCAGCCCCTCATTTATCCAGCTCACTGTAGCTTCTTACCATTTACTAGTATGCTTTGAAAAACAGTTTTTTTTAGTTTTTTTTCTTTATTAAAATGAATTCAAGGTAACAGAGTGCTTATGCGGTTCATCTATGACCAAAGAGTTTTAAACTTAAACAAATAAGCACTGCAGGAGACAGAGAAAAGCTCATTTTGTTTTTCTACTCGGTGTTGGCATTATAGCCTTGTTTTGCTCTGTGTCCTGCATGTTTAAGATTTTCTACATTATGTTACACACAATTATTCTGTTTATTCAGAATTATAATATGAATAATATAATAAGATATTTGGCATTGTTTGATTTTATTTAATTTATGATTGAAATAATTCACTTGTTATGAAAATAGCCCTGGATAATGAAGCTTTTATTGAGAAAATCGTGCAAAAAAAAACATGAAGCATTTTATAATCTTCAGTCATTGATTGATTATTGATCAGTGTAACAGGTGATCAATAAAGGAAATTGCCTGACACTTGCATCCCTTGTTGTAATTGTACCAGGTTGCTAAGTTTGTGATTTGAACAAGAATGTGGATCCTGTGTTTCCTGTTTTAGTGTTGATTAAGCGTAGACAACCCTTCTCTCCATGTGACAGGCAGAACAGTGAGAGGATATTTTAAGTAGTGCAGATGTTCTATAGGCTAAAGGAACAGGAGAGAGAAAGGGAGGGAGGGGAGTCTTCTGTTCCAGAAAATATATTTGGTCTTTCCCACAGATTGTGGACACTATTTTTAATTGAATTAGTTTTTGGGACACCACTTGTCTCTGGACACTTCTGGTTGCCTCCGTGTTGCCAGTGTTTCCCATGGTGTGAATCACAGCCTGTGGTGTGTGTTTGTGTGTGTGTGTGTATGTGTGTGTGTGTGTATTTTTCTTGTTACTGTTGTCATATGCATACTAAAAACCAAATGCCTCTCTTATAAGTTTATTCTTTACACCAGCAGAGAATTCACTTGTGGCAGTGGACTCATTTGTGAGCCCAGTGTTACCACTGTTATTATTTGAATGTAAATAGAATAAGTACTGTATACATTATTTCCAGGCCAAGGAAACTGTATTCTTATCAACCAACTATAAGACTTATCACTAAATGTTGAATGCAAAGGATCTGAATGAACATGCACATCTCAAAGTGTGTGTGAATTATCTGATATAAGCTGACCTCATCATTGTTCTCTGTTACTGAATACATACAGAACATGTTTATTTGTAAGCCCTAGCAACCAATGTTGTCAGCAGTGTCATAAATACACAAAGGGATGTGGTGAAGGAGGAGAAAACCCCGGCAGTGTACACATTTATAACTCAGTAAACAATTGTCATCTAAACCCAAGGGCGTAGGTCTCAACACTGGGACATCCCGCCCCAAATTTCCTAAATTAATTCATAATTTGATATAGGTTTAATATAATATAATCACTTTTATTTGGCCAAGTATGTTACACACAAGGAATTTGTTTCTGGTACAGAACCGCGGCAGCCATCTGTGGCGCCAACTCAACCGATGGCTCTAACCATTAGGGGCAACTTGGGGGGTTAGTGTCTTGCCCAAGGACACTTAAACAAGTGGACTGCAGGCACCGAGATTCGAACTCCCGACCCTCCGGTTAGGAGATGACTGCTCTACCCACTGAACCACAGTCGCCCCCATTGTACACCTATTTTAAGTCTACTCCTGTTAGCAATGTGACTGCTAGCCTGTAGATAACAGCAGACAGGGTTATTAGCCTGCTAGCTGTTATTAGCTAACATGGTTAACTAACACGAGTTGACATTTTCCACAGCGTAAAGACTGGTGATGTTAGGTAGCAGGTTTTCATTTCAAATCAACATGGCTACTGGTGAGTACTTAATTATTCAGTCTATTAAAACTACTTAAGCTCCGGGTGTCAAAAAAAAAACACCTTATGTCTCTGTCTTTTTTGGTGCAGTAAAGTTATCTATAAACAGTGGTGGAAAGTTACGAAGTGCAAGTATTGTTACGGTACTTAAGTATATTTTTCACACATTTGTACTCGAGTAGATTAAATTATGGCTACTTTGGCTTTTACTCCATTACATCTAAGAGTAAATATCTATACTCTCTACTCCACTACATTTCTCATCAAAGTTGGGTTACGCTCCACAGTCACATTGCTTTACACATTTCACAAAGCAGCACTTTTCTTTTTTTATTTATTTATTTTTTTTATGAAAACAAATCAATACAAGACAGGAATCGCCTCACTAAGCCAATCAGCACAGGCAGGTATAGTGTTAGTTCCTCTTTCCTTAAGCGAGAGCAGTTATTTGACATATTAGGTTCCATATGACATATTGCCATCCAGTGGTAAAAAAATAACAAAGTCCAGTGATATGATATAGTATATAAAATGTGTGGATCATGCCACCTCTAACTGAAAGCACTGGTTGCAGCAGTTGTAATAAATGTAAAGTATCCCAGTAGTCAGTTTGGTTGCAAATAGTTGTTATACTTCTTACGGTGACCCCATATTGTTTTTGTCCAAAATTGAGCACCAACATCCACAAACCATGCACAAACAGATACACACTGCTGCCTCACCCCAGTGCCCAGCCCCACTTGGCCCGGTGCTGTTTATGGGAGTGGGGAGTGGTTGTTGAGAGCCTAGAGTCAGCAGATCTACCCCTGATCGATGACAGCCTTTGCAGTTCACTTCCAGTAAGAGCTCTAAACTTGGGGAGAAGAGAGTCATTTGGCCACGAAGAAGGCAGAGCTTCCCATGCGCCTGTCTGCTGCTTCTGAGGTGGCTGATACCGGACAGAGGCTCAGTCTGATGCAACCGCGGCAGAGGTGTTAATTGTCCTCAAGCTGACTGGCCACAGAGGGAGTGATGTCAGCAGGATAAAGAGCAGTCTTGCTGCCGCTAACTATGTGCCATTTTCTGTATCTTTGTCTTTTACCTCTCCTATTTTTATCCTGTGTGCTTTTTGTAGTGCAAGTCCATTCTAATCTGATATACTTGACTCACTGTTGTCTCACTATCTGTTGGGTAAATACAGTATTCCAAATTGGCAAGAGTGTGAGGACTCATCAAAATTCCATGTTCAAATGGATTTCAGTAGCTCCTGTATTGTGAGAATTAGCCCTGTAGCTATGGATTGGAAACCAATGCAGTAGTGCCCCATGACTCAGAGGTGAGCTCAGGACTCAAACCAGGTGACAAACAGTCAGACTACAGTCATCACTCCTTTTTGTTTAGCACAAAGGTTTGCAGATCATGTACTGAATCATGTGTGTCATATCCTTTAATTCTGTACTTTCTCTCTTTCTCTCTCTCTCTACAGACATTTATAGTCCTAAACAAAGGGAAAACAATCTTCCGCTTCAGTGCCACGCCTTCCTTGTACATCATAAGCCCTTTTAATCCACTTAGGCGAGTAGCTATTAAGATTTTGATACATTCATATCCTTTCAAACAATGTTGCAGCATTTAAAGCAGTTTGTTTTTTTTCTTCTTATGTCACAAATGCATCAGTCTCCCCCCTTCTCTGCCCTGTTCCTTAAGTTTTACTTTAATAAGTTTCATTTTTGTCTATTAAAATGGTGTTTTAATGTCTTAGGTGATATGAGTAGCGCTGTTCAGACTTTCCTTAACCTCAGTCATCTCACGTTATTCAGCATGATCATCATGTGTACCATTTTGACGAACTGTATATTCATGACATTTAGTGATCCCCCAGAGTGGTCCAAACAAGTAGAGTAAGTGCACATTCATACTTCTTCTCAGCAAATATATTATTGTTTAATGTATCTGTCACTGCTTTACTGTGTTCTGTTTTTTTTTTTCTTCAAGGTATACCTTCACAGGTATCTATACGTTTGAGTCACTCACAAAAATTGTTGCCCGCGGCTTCGCTATAGATGGGTTCACTTTTCTCAGAGACCCTTGGAACTGGCTGGATTTCATGGTCATCTCAATGGCGTAAGTATTTGTACTTGTAATTACTGACAGTAAAAATATCAAACGTGAGTCATTAAACGTTACGTATGATCAAGTGCATAAAAAAGTGCAGTCAAAGCAAGAAGCCAAAAAGGGATTTCAGCATGACTGATAAATAGTCAAAAAACATGACTATTAACAACTACACATCCTCATTTTGGACAGTCTTGCTGTATAAACACAGGTGTAACTACAGTAATTATATTAATAACATGCATTCTGGCTCATTAGTAACGGCTTGTGAGACACATCAGTGGAACAGAGCCATTATTAAAGTTACTGGTGACACCTGGGCTTTTAATGCTATGATGGGTTAGATTATCTGCCGTGAGAAAGGTCTCCCACTGGGTCCAAAATCACTTGTTTTGGTGGCAGTGTCACACAGCAGTAATTTTTGCAGCTATAAAATATGCCGTATTGTTTTGCAGGATTGTTTGTGGAATGTAGTGTACATGGGCACTATGTTTTCTTAGAGACTCAGCTAAAACAGCAGAGTGACCTTTGGATGCGATCTGAGTCATTTGAATTCTGGTACAAAAGCAGGACAAACAAACAGGTTAACGAAACCTATGTCATTAGACACTGTAGTAATAGTCCCAGTTTAATGACCAACTTACATATACCATCATGGCATGAGTCTCATAACACAAACTTTTGATTTTCTTTTTACCAGCCAGCTGGGGTGTGTCATTGAAGAATATTATAGCTATTATTTTATTTTAATTATAATTATGATGTGATAGTTATTTTATATTGTAAAACACAGTGCGCCCCCATCTGTAGGCAACACTGGAAAAGTGAGAAATCTGAACAACAACAACAACAACAAAAAAAAAAAATCTCCACCCACCTAAAAAACAGTTTTAGCCACTGCAGCAACAAATACACACTATGATGTGGCAGTTCTGTGTCTATGCTTCACTCCACATTGGAGGGCAACCATTAGGACACCCTGATCACTTTTATATTTTACGTGCTTTGTGAGCTCAGTCTAGTAGTTATCATTTTTATTACATAGAGGTAATGGGTTTATTACATACGAGTGTAGTTGTGATGCTATGGCTCTTGCCAGTCACGCCATGGTTCCTGTCCAGTTTTATTTCAGTACCAGTATTTTGTTTTGTGTCATCTTCTCTTTGAACACGGGTTTGTTTCCTTCCTGTTGTTTTGCAGGTTTGTAAAGACTAGGCCGAGTAGTGCATGTGCGATTGATGGGCAGTCGGCATGCTTTCTTGTACAGAACCTTCCTAATTGGCTGTTATGGCCTTTGATATTTTGGAGCAGCTGAAAACTGTCCATCTTTTCTCAATAGATTTTAATGATCTGCAGCGGGATGTAAAATGGATCCAAAAGCATGCCTACAGCACCTTCAGTCCACATCATAATACCTTGATAATGATTATTAAAATATTATGTAACTGTCTTTTCTTTCTTTTTCTCTGTTTGGGATGGCTGCTAAGTCACTTTATCTGATCCACCTTGCAGGTATATAACAGAGTTTGTAAACCTAGGCAATGTGTCAGCTCTGCGTACGTTCAGGGTTCTGAGGGCTTTGAAAACAATTTCAGTTATTCCAGGTAAGACAGTCCAGGTGTTTGTGTTTGCGGGTGGGCGAGTCACAGGGGTTGATGTTAGGTGTGGTTTTGTTTCAGTTCCTCTCTTTTCCTCTTCCTCCTCCGTTCTCTTCCCACTGGTCGGACAGGCGTTCTTTCTCTCGCCATGGTGTCCCCTTCTGGTCTTCGATGGTGCTGCTGGTGTCGTGCGCTTGCGCGTACATGCGTGCGTGTGTTGTTATTGTGTGTGTTGTGTGTCAAGGGGTTCTGTCCTGTGTGTCATCCTACCTTGTTACAGATATATAACAGAGTTTGTGGACCTTGGGAATGTCTCAGCGCTGAGAACGTTCAGGGTTCTCCGAGCATTGAAAACAATTTCTGTCATTCCAGGTGAGACTCCCATTTAAACACTAAGGCTGAGCTATTAGCTGTCTTTATTTATATTACTTAAAATCTTCTGTTTAAAAAAAAAAGGATGTTTTAGAATTTCTACTTTTTTTTAGTTTTACTTTTGTTTTGTGACAATCAAAAATGGTAGCAATACATTTTTGATAGGCTTAGCAGTCTACTGGCAGTCTTGTGGGCTCACATTTCATATGGACAGCTGGATGTATGCAGCACATTATGGTATGCCACTGCGATATTTTTGTAAATTTCCACCTAGTGAAATAGAAAGGTCTAACAGTCTGTGATGATAAAGGGCAAGAGTTTAGGTATTATATCCAAGAAGTTTCAGCATGTTTTCATGAGTGGTGAAATTAATAAACTAATTAGGGAAAACGTAATTATTATTACCTTAAATCTGTCACCTCTTTGCACTATAGGTTTTTGTTGTGTTTAATTTAATGCACAGGTCCAATTTCTCAGAATCTATGTCACTACCTTCTTGTTCCTAAAGACTTTTTAATTCCCTAAGACTGCCAAGCCTAAATTTACAACACATTGATGCTGCATGAAGCTTTGGGACACCTGCTTTTACAAGTATGGCTTCAGAGGACTTTTCTTTTGGATTACATTTTGTTTTAGTCTTAAAAATGATTTCATTCAGGCTTCAGATTTGATTTCTTTTTTGAAGATCTTTGTCCATCCTGGGAATGAGATTTAAAAGCATTTTTGTTTTAAAGCGCGCAACATGTTTATACATGATTAAACATTATATCCACTCGAAATGCTTGTAAAAAAAACTGTGCAGACACTGTGCGCGCGCACACACACACACACACACAATACAGTACAGTACAATAAGCTCACCCTCCTGCATGTAGTTGTGCTCTGGGCTAAACCGGCCTGACAGCTCGCCCACCACTGCGAGACTGGGAGAAAGGGGTGCCTGGGATGGGAACAGTTCTTCAGTTAAAGCAAGGTCACCGGCACGGTTTACAATCAGGTGATGCTGACACACAGTCAATTCCTTCAGCCTTGGCGTTTAAATGTCCTGCATGCCACCTCTCATTGCTCGTCCCTACCGACCACCAACTCTTCCTTGCCTGTCCTTTCTCCTTTTTCCTCTTTGCTTCCTGCTTTTCTAACTGAGTCTGGTTCTGTGTGCTGTTTGCGGTGCTGCTGTTTTTTAGTTCATTTGTTGGGTGCAGTATAATTAATAACTGCAGTTATTCAGGGATGCTTCCATAGATTGACCCAGGGAGTGAAAGGAAACGGTAATCCCATCATGCAGTTTCCCTCCTCTAGATCAATCCTAGATCCAGTTGCAGTGCTGTTTGCTCTTCTTCACTGGAAAATGCTTGAGATGATTAAGCATTTTAAAACATTTCTATAGAGCTCTTTACTTACATGAGGTAGTTAATATAAAAAAGTTAAATGAAAATATGTCTTTCTGATGGAGACATCCCAGAGAGCTGCAGTGTTTGCTGTGGTCTAATGTGTTGAAATGTGAAAAAACTGAATGGAGTACTGACCGGTGTGGTGGTGCATATAAGCAGGTAACACTAGTGCTTATAAAGGAAGCAAGGGATAAAAGAGCAGTGTCTAGTAAAGCTATACAAGTGCAGAACAAGTAAGTGTAAATTTGTTTTAAAAGCTGCCAATCATCTACATAAGCGTTTTAAGCCGCTGATGATAATTAATAAACTTTATTTAAATTTACAGAAAGATTGTTGACTTTCTGACACATTATATATTTCTTAAATCACATCAGTGATTATTACAACTTTAAAACATTTCACAATATGGAATTTGTCTCTTATTAAATACAGAAAGTCGACACTCATAATAAGTAAGATTAGTCTAAAGCTGATCCAAGTGAGTGCAAAAAGAAATGATATAAGTCAACAGTGAGAAAATTAGCACAGCAAAGGAGATGGGAGCTTTCCTCCCAGGAGATGCGGAGATGCAGGACATGTTCTTTTGCCTGTGAGCTACAGAAAATGACTGGAGATATAAAACCCCCATGTCAACACACAAGCTACACACAGGCCATAGTTTTTATTACATTATGGGTATATCTGAACTACTGTTGCACTGTGCTTATGACAGAGAAAGTCAGATTCTGTGGTTGAGGCTTGGTGGTGCCGTCCTCTTGATATTCGAGAAATAATTCTGATGCCTGCCAAGTTCAGATTCACGCAAGAGCCGACACAGCACAGGGTTAAAACCAGGATTACATATACATTACCTAAACAAACTCAGACTGTGCACTGTTGCAGTGCCAAAAGTTGATATTCTCTTTATTTGTGTGTGTGTGTGTGTGTGTGTGTGTGTGCGTATGTGAGTTTGCCTGTTTTCATGTATGTGTATTTGTGCACAATTGTGTGCGTGTGTTTATTGTATGTTAATTGACAGGCCTGAAGACCATTGTGGGTGCTCTGATCCAGTCTGTGAAGAAGCTGTCGGATGTGATGATCCTGACTGTCTTTTGTCTCAGCGTCTTTGCTCTGATTGGACTGCAGCTCTTCATGGGGAACCTGCGGCAAAAGTGTGTGTTCTGGCCAATCAACATGACTGAGCGCTACTTGGCCAATGGCAGCAGGGGCTTTGACTTTGAAGAATACATCATGAATGATAGTGAGTGATTATCTTGACACTTGATTAAACTAGTTGCATGTGACTACATAAATGGGATATGGCAGAATTTGTGTGTGTCTTGGAAATTTGTTTTTGAGTTATGTTGGTTTTTTTTCTTCCTTGCACACATGTATTGGGGCTACACACACATTTTTGCCCAGTGGCTAACACAAGTGACTGTTCTTTCTTTTTTTCATAGCTAATTTCTACTTCCTCCCTGGTCAGGCTGATGCTCTACTATGTGGAAATAGTTCTGACTCAGGGTAAGTCAGTGCTTCACTCACTAAATGCAAACCTCCATGTTTGTTTTTGCTTTTGTTGTTATTTCATGTTTTGCGAGGCACATGCACACATCATTAGTCATGTACAATCAGGGTTTGTTAGGTGTTTCAGCTCTTTCAACACCAGACACACTTGGCCAGATGACCCAGCTAGGGTTCATCAGGCGCCAGCTGTCTGGGCCATACATCAGGCTGCCCCTCTTAATCAACAGTCATTGTTTAAATCCAGACACCATCTGCAAATTTCTACATCTGGGCTACCTTCTTCTCCTCCAGATCACCTTGAGGATCTTCCACAGTTGTCGCAGGACTGAATCTTTTGTTGTATATCTTGTAAGGTACTCCACAAGGGTCTGGGATCAAGCTTGTTGTAACAAGCCTGGTGAATTACTAGATAACCGTCACAGCTGACTTTTGTGTTGAGCTCACTAGTAGGATCTTTGGTGATGTCGGTCTCTTATGTCTTGGTTTTTCTATCCACTTATGTGGGTGTTGCTGAGCTGTCGGTCAGTCTTCTCTTTGGAGCATGCCAGGTGGCCACTTTGCTGCTGCCTATTCAGTTTCTCAGTGAAGTTGAAAGGGTGTGCCATGAACGCCACTCATCGTCTGAGTCTCTCTCTCTCTCTCTCTCTGCCCCTGCCTTGGTGCCACTCTACTCTGCAGAGGGCGATGGCCTTCCTCTTCACATCCATCCATCCATTATCTATACTGCTTAGTCCAGCTGACACTGGGCAAGAGGCAGGGTCCACCCTGGACAGGTCACCAGTTTATCACAGGACTGACGTGTAGACAAACAACCACACACACACTCCCACTCACTCCTAGGGCAATTTGGAGTCACCAATCAATCTAACCTGCATGTCTTTGGACTGTGGGAGGAAGCCAGAGTACCTGGAGAAAAACCCACGTAGGCACAGGGAGAACATGCAGACGCCGCACAGAATCCCCGGGCTCAAACCCGGAACCTTCTTGCTGTGAGGCAGCAGCGCTAACCTTCCTCCCCACAATGTTCTGGGAATATCCCAAAGTGGTTTTATCTTCCTCCCTCTCTTCTCTGTACAACCTCCTTTGAAATTTCACTTTGTCTTAGCTGGCTGATTATCTACTGGCAGTTTTTCTCCCAGGGTGTCTAGTCACAAACTCCTCAGCAGTAATGTCGACAGTGATGATGGTTGATCTGCATCACCCCTGACTATGGCTTCAGAGATCCTGCCCTCATCCTCATCAAGCTTGATCTACTCTTTTAATTCAGCCAGCCACCTGACCTGTAGGCGTTAAGGTCTGCCTTGATGTGTGGAGGTTCTGGGCACTGTGGGGAAACCCCAGGCCTGTGTCTAACTGTCTCTTTTCGATCTGGAGGATCTTCAGGCCATGCAGGTGTTAAAACCTTAATTAGCATTTAACTAAAACAAGCTAATTTTAGTCATTATAGAGGGACAAAATTAAATATGTTGGACAAAATAAACAATATGAAAAAAATATATGCATTTACTAAGCAGGCATGTCCTCATAATTCATAAACCAGTTACAATTTTTTAAAAGGTCATGAAATATGAGGGAATTATATTCATATCATGTTCTTAAATGTACATGCAAACATGCATGCACAATAAAGTGATGACTAAAACACATTTTTTTTACCAGCTGATTTTTATGCTTCTTTGTCTCTTCACACATATACAGTAGATTCAAAAAGGGTGGGACAATAGCTAGTCTTCATAAAATAAGACCTGGCTTTGCAGCCCTGCAGTCCCTCACTGAGCTCAATAGACTTAAAAAGTGCAGTGCCCAAGGCTCAACTTTATACACGTACTGTATCATCCAACGCAGTGCTAGCAACAGCCAGACGACAGCCAATTGCGATGATCTTGATTCCAGAATAAACTAAAGCACAGAATTGTTTACTACTCCACACTTCTTTACAAAGGAACTTTTTAACTTTAAGAAGAAGAAGAACATGTGGGAACATAATGCTGAGATTGTTAGTGTGTGACCTCAGCAGAATGTATAAATTCCATGCTCAACACATCACACCCCCCAGAACTACAGATTAACGAGAGGTCATATACTGGCAACTATTTTGTATCCATATGTGTAAACACACCATCAGACTACCAATAATACATCAAATTGAAAATCTGTAAATTTTAGTCATTTACTAAGTTCTCATTTCCTTACAGAAACTGTCCCGAGGGTTTTACATGTATGAAAGCTGGAAGGAACCCCAACTATGGTTACACCAGCTTTGACAGCTTTGGATGGGCTTTCCTCACCCTCTTTCGCCTCATGACCCAAGACTTCTGGGAAAATCTGTATATGCTGGTAAAACAAAGTTTTCATTAATTCTTGCATTTCTTTCCGTTGTCTCTTTAATCTGTATCTTGCCATGGTATGACCTATGGATAAAGTCTTGGGCCTTCTTGCACCTGTTCTGAAGACCTATATCAAAGCCTCACCAGTCCTCAGCAGCTACTCAGAGACATAAACCACCCCTTAAACAGCACTGCTAGTTTTGTTCTCACTTTATTACAAAACACACAGTATATACCATATTACCATCCTAATACCTGAATGAGTCGGCAAATGTGCCTCTTAGCAGCTCTTTTCTTCAGTTTGCCCTCTGAGTAAAAGACAGTGAAGGTGACATGATCAGAAATACTGTAGGACTGTGTCACTACACTTGCTGCTTGTCTTCCATATAGGGAGCAACAGATTTCTTAATATTGAAGTATGTGGTTGTTTGCATTTGTATTGAAGCAATGGACAAAAGTAAATTTATTTTTGTTAAATGACCTTTAGAACACACATATTTTTAAGAGCCCGCTGGACCTCTATGACATAAACGTCTTCTTCATTTTCCTTGAGAAAGCCACAAACTGGATATAGAAGCACCAGCAATGCTGACATAACACAGTATCACACAAGCAGTATCTCTGACAGAATAATATAGTCCTGGAGAAAAAAACTCATGAGCACAAGATACAGTGCCTTGCGAAAGTATTCGGCCCCCTTGAACTTTGCGACCTTTTGCCACATTTCAGGCTTCAAACATAAAGATATAAAACTGTAATTTTTTGTGAAGAATCAACAACAAGTGGGACACAATCATGAAGTGGAACGAAATTTATTGGATATTTCAAACGTTTTTAACAAATAAAAAACTGAAAAATTGGGCGTGCAAAATTATTCAAATCCACATAAGGGATGACGGCAACATTCATAGATCCTGGAATGCACAATGAGGGGCAATGTTCATTCCTATTACAGAGGCCCACTGAAATTTTTTTGAGGAAAAGCTGTGTTAGACTGCATATTGTTTATAGTAAAGTATTTTTATATACAAATATAAAAATGAAAATGTTTCTGGAGTGGGACTTTAATTAATTATAGAAGTTGTGCAGAAGCTGCCCATAGCTCTACACAGTGATCCATGTGTGTACTGTATGTGTTTCTATGCTGCTCCAAATGAGTCTGTTCTGGTTCAACTTGTCTTATTAAATGAGCTTAAAAATAAAGTGACACCTTAGTTATAAAACACTGAGCAGGCTGTAACACACAAGAGTGTGT